TCAAAACCCAACTCTTATGCCATTAGAAAGAGGATCATGAAAAACCTATAAAAAAATGGTTCAAGAAATTTTAGTTCGCTCATAAAGCTAAAGTCCGCTTGCTCTAGCAAAAAATGCCCACTGTGGCCTGTGAGCTCAATGGCAAACAACATCTGATGACGGATATAATTGAATGTGTGAAAGCAACGGACTATCAGCTTGAACAAGTTATTCATCGTAGTAAAAATCTAATACAAACGTATCCATCTTCATCGGCTTACTTCGCTCCTTGTGATATAATTGCACAAGAATTTTATCAGAGAAAATATTCAGATCTTCGTGGCATTGACGACCATGTGTATTCTGTCACGTTATCGCTTCATTTGGACGGAGCCCCTATCGTGAATTGGAGATAAAAACAGACTTTTTCCACATCTGTTGTCGAAATTCCTCCACCTTTGCGTGATTATACAACAAATTTAATTCTTTTTGATTTTTGGTAAAATGTTTCTCATTTATTTATCTTCAAAGCATTGAATGACCATCCAAACTTCTTCACTTTTACAAGTTTTTTTTTAACATGACTCCGGTACCTCAACAGCAGGGTGCAGTTCGAAAGAACTGAGATGCTGGTTCAAATCCGACTCCGGGATTTTTATAATTTAACTGATTGTAATTGTGAAGATTTTCTAATAATAAAACTTTCCCACCTCCCTCAGTCTCTTTGATTTCAGACACAAATTTTTGGCGTAGCTTTGTATAGTAAAGTAAGTGTATAGTAAGTAAGTCTTGCATACATGTAGAAGTCGTTACGTCGTAACGACTTTTGACAGTCGTACACTTTCTACGACTTTACAACTAAGTTGAGCGGCACTGCGACTTTACGACTGAGTCGTATAGCAGTACGACTTTACGACTGAACGACTTTATATAAATATTCTATCTACGACTGTACGACTTTACGACTGAGTCGTATAGCATGACGTGAGAGTGAGTAACCGAAAAACGTGCCTGACTAACGCTGTGGAAGAAATATATTTAAGATGTGTAGCACTTGGAATTGTGATGTACTGGATATTAGCGAGTGAGAGGCTTCATGCTTCCTTCGTCGTTTTGTGTATCGGATTTAAAGCCGAAGGATGCTGCAAGCAAAATCGATGATCGACAGCGGATCCAAAAAGTTTTAGTGAACTTTGCGTGACATATAGATCAATTGCGATATTTATTTTAAGTCCTTAAGTCGCAGATAGAATATTTATATAAAATCGTAAAGTGGTTAAGTCGTACTGCTATACGACTCAGTCGTAAAGTGGTTAAGTCGTACTGCTATACGACTCAGTCGTAAAGTGGTTAAGTCGTACTGCTATACGACTCAGTCGTAAAGTCGTAATGTCATACTGCTATACGACTCAGTCGTAAAGTCGTTAAGTCGTTAGGTCGTTAAGTCGTTAGGTCGTTAAGTCGTTAGGTCGTTAAGTCGTTAGGTCGTTAAATCGTTAGGTCGTTAAGTCGTTAGGTCGTTAAGTCGTTAGGTCGTTAAGTCGTTAGGTCGTTAAGTCGTTAGGTCGTTAAGTCGTTAGGTCGTTAAGTCGTTAAGTCGTAGATAGAATATTTATATAAAGTCGTAAAGTCGTACTGTTATACTACTCAGTCGTAAAGTCGTTAAGTCGTACTGCTATACGACTCAGTCGTAAAGTCGTTAAGTCGTTACACAGTGGGCATTTTTTGCTAGAGCAAGCGGACTTTAGCTTTATGAGTGAGCTAAAATTTCATAAACCATCTTTTTATAGGTTTTTCATGATCCTCTTTCTAATGGCATGAGAGTTGGGTTTTAAAAAAGTTTTCTAAGAAGTTTTCCAGAAATCCGGTCTCG